ATTTGAGCTCATCTAATCCCTCGACTAGAGGAACTGTTGACTGACAATAGTTCATGAAAGGAAATATTGAATATGTTCCCAGCTTGTTAAACCTTTTCATCTCCTAATCATTTATATCAGAGAAGCAAATATTTCAGCCTTCTCTAGGAACTACAACTGCTGTTTCTAAATAAGAAAGAGTCTTCTTTTGTGAGATATCACTCCTGCTCTGCTCCTTGTATTTGAAGGTGCTGGCAATTGCACATAACTACCAGGGGCAGACAGCCTTCAAGTTAAGCCATCTGTAGCAATCCCAGATTGGGCTCTTTTATCTAGAATTTCAGTTATGTTAGCACTGTAGCACTGTCCTCCCATTGTTCATGGATTTGTTCGAGCGGGCCTAGTAACATCTCCATTGTGAGACTTGGCAAATCGAATACGTCACGGGTAGCTAGCCAGGCTTTGCCGTGTGGATGAGATACTCTTGGTAGCTTGCCAGGCTCTCCGAGAGGGGTGGAGGAATTGAACTCAGGTCGGCCCGGCCGGCTGCACACAAGGCAAATGCCCTACCCGCTGTGCTATCACTCCAACCCCTCAGTTATGTTATTTTTTCTTAATTACTCTTGAGGCCATGATGTTCAGTGTGCATTTCTTTAGGAGTATGTGTTTCCTGATAATTTATATATACATATAGATATGTATATATCTCTTCTATGCTGGTGATTTTTTTACTTTGTATATTGCATTTTGATATTAGATCACTGTAGCTTCTTTTGGTTAATAATTTATGCTGTACTTTTGGTCCATTTCAAAATATTTTCCGTATGCTTATACTTCAAGTTTTGTAGAAATCATTGGACTGGTCTCTTCTTTTCCTTTTAGTTTGTTTTGCTTTATAGAAATTTGAGAACAAGGGAAAGAGGTTAAGAGGGAGTGGAAAACAATGAAGTGGTTAAAAACCTAAAGGAAAAGGATCTGTGCAACAGGAAGAACATACATTACTAAATGTATACGCACCTAATGAGGAACCAGCAAAGTACTTAAAACAACTACTCACAGACTTGAAGAAAGACATCAATAGTGACACAATACTAATGGGAGATTTCAACACTGCTTTATCATCTCTTAATAGATCAACCATACTCAAGCTTAGCAAGGATATACTTCATTTGAGGGAAAAAATGGAAGAAAGGGACTTAGTAGATATATACAGGACAGTTCATCCTCAAAATGCTGAGTACACATTTTTCTCAAATGTGCATGGGGCATTCTCCAAGATAGACCACATGTTAGCCACAAAACATACCTCCATAAAATTCAGAAGAAAGAGACTGTATCAACGATCTCCTCAGACCATGATGCAGTGAAAATAGAAGTAAATCACACACACAAACAGAAAATCAAATCAAATACCTGGAAATTAAACAGTTCACTATTGAACAATGTGTGGCTTAGAATGGAAATCAAAGAGGAAATCAAAAGATTCCTGGAAACAAATGAAAATGCGGTCACGGTTACCAAAACTTACGGGACATGGCAAAACCTGTGTTAAGAGGAAAGTTTATAGCTCTACAAGCATTCTTCAGGAAGGAAGAGTAAGCCCACATAAATAACCTAAACTCACAGCTCAAGAGCTTGGAGAAGGACCAACAAACAGAGCCCAACCCGAGCAGGAGGAAGGAAATAATAAAACTCAGAGCAGAAATAAACAAGATGGAAACCCAAAAACCAATCAGAATGATCAATGAAAGCAAGAGCTGGTTCTTTGAGAAAATAAAAAAGATCGATAAACTTCTAGCAAGACTCACAAAGAAAGGGAGAGAGAAAACCCTAATAAACCGAATCAGAAATGAGAGGGGGGACATTACGAGAGAAACTACAGACATTCAAAGGTTCCTCAGAAATTACTTTTGGAAACTTTATGCCATGAAACAGTAAAACCTCAAGGAAATGAATAAATTCCTAGATTCCTATAGCTTCCCAAGACTGAACCAAGAAGACCTGGAATACCGAACACACCTATCGCCATCAAGGAATTGAAAAGGTAATAAAAAGTCTCCCCACGCACAAAAGTCCTGATGGGTTCACTAGTGAATTCTTCCAAATCTGAAAATAGGACTTACTCCCAATCTTCTTTAAGATTTTTCCACAAAATTGAAGTATCAAAAACACTTTCGAACAGTTTCTATGAAGCAAGTATCACCCTGATACCAAAAGCAGACAAAGATACCACAAAGAAAGACTATTGCAGGCCAATATTCCTAATGAACACAGATGCAAAGATCCTCAACAAACCATTAGCACATAGAATCCAACGACTCATCAATAAGATTATACACCATGACCAAGTCGAATTCATCCCAGGGATGTAAGAATAATTTAACATTCAGAAATTGATCAACATAATCCTCAAAAATCAACAAAATAAAAGATAAAAACCATATGATCATATCAATAGACACAGAAAAAACATTTTACAAGATTCAGCACCCGTTTATGATGAAAATCCTCAGCAAAACAGAAATCAAAGAAACTTTCCTCAACATAGTCATCGCCATATACCACAAGCCCATGGCAAGTATCATTATCAATGGGGAAAAACTGAGAGCCTTCCCTCTAAGATCTGGCACAAGACAATGTTGCCCACTTTTGCCACTCCTATTTAATATAGTACTGTAAGTCCTGGTCATTGTAGTCAGGCAAGAGAGAGGTAATAAGGGAATACAGATAAGAAAGGAAGAAGTCAGGCTATCAGTATTTGCAGACGATATGATACTGCAAATATGATACTATAAATTTACTATATTTAGAAAACCCTAAAGACTACAGAAAAGTTCTTAGAAACAATAGGTCGGTTTAATAAAGTGGCAGGCTACAAAATCAACACCCAAAAGTCCATGGCTTTCTTATATACAAATAACAAAAGAGAAGAAAGAGACATTAAAAAACAATCCCGTTCACAATAGTACCTCAGAAAATCAAGTACCTCGGAACCAGCTTAACCAAAGAGGTGAAGGATCTATACAAGGAAAATTACAAAACAATACTTCAAGAAATAAAAGAGGACACTAGGAAATGGAAACACATCCCCTGCTCATGGATAGGGAGGATGAACTTGATCAAAATGGCAATACTGCCCAAAGCACTATACAAATTCAATACAGTCCCTACCAGGATACCCTTGACATTTTCCAAAGAAATAGACAAAACACTACTGAAATTCATATGGAACAATAAACCCTCAAGAATAGCTAAAACAATCCTTGAGAAAAAGAAGATGGGTGGCATCACCCTCCCCAACTTCAAGCTGTACTACAAAGTAGTAGTAATTAAAACAGCATGGTACTGGGCTAGAAACAGATCTGCGACCAATGGAACAGAATTGAATTTTCTGTCGCAGACCCCCAAATATATAACTACTTAATCTTTGACAAAGGAACAAGAAATGTGAAGTGGAACAAAGAGGAACTGCCTCTTCAACAAGTGGTGCTGGGAAAACTGGATAGCTACCTGCAAAAAAAATGAACTCTGACCTCTGTCTAATGCAAGGCACAAAAGTCAGAGAAAAGTGGGTTAAAAACCTTAATATCAGACATGAATCCACACAGTACATAGAGGAAAATGTAGACTGAACTCTCCATGACATTAAAGCTAAAAGCATCTTTAAAGATGAAACAGCACTGACCATGCAAGTGGAAGCAAACGTAAACAAATGGGACTACATCAAACTAAGAAGCTTCTGTACTTCAAAGGAAACGTGACCAAAATACAGAAAGAGCCCACAGAATGGGAAAGAATATTTACCCAATATCTATCTGATAAGGGATTATTATCCAGGGTATACAAGACACTAGTAGAATTGTACAAGAAAAAAACCTCCAACCCCATAAAAATGGGGAGAAGAAATGAACAGATGTTTCCTCAAAAAAGAAATACAAATGGTCAAAAGGCACATGAAAAAATGCTCCACATTACTAGTCATTAGGGAGATGCAAATCAAAACAATGAGATATCATCTCACACCACAGAGACTGGCACACATTCAAAAGAACAAAAGTAACCTGTGCTGGTATGGATGTGGGTGAAAAGAGACACTCTTTCGCTGTTGGTGGATTTGACCACTAGTCCAGCCTTTCTGGAAAACAATATAGACAGTCCTTCAAAGACTCGAAATTGAGCTTCCATATGACCCCGCAATACCACTTTTCAGAAAATATCCCGAGGATGCAAAAGCACAGTAGAAATGACATCTGTACTTATATGTTCATTGCAGTACTGTTCACAATAGCCAAAATCTGGAAACAACCCCAGTGCCCTACAACAGATGACTGGTTAAAGAAACTTTGGTACATCTACACAATGGAATACTATACATCTGTCAAGAGAGATGAAGTCATGAACTTTGCTTATAAATGGATAGACATGGAGAGTAACATGCTAAGTGAAACGAGTCAGAAAGAGAGGCACAGACATAGAAGGACTGCACTCATTTGTGGAGTATAAAATAACATAACATGAGGCTGACACTTAAGGACTTAAGGATAGCAGATACATGGGACAGGTAGATTGCTCCATAGCTGGAAGCCTGCCTCATGTCCAAAGGGGAGAAGACAGCTGGAATAGAGAAGGAATCACTAAGAAAATGATGGCTGGAGGAATCGGCCAAGATGGGAAATGTGTGCAGAAAGTAGATAAAGGACCAAACCTGATGGTCTCTCAGTAGCTATATAGCAAAATAATGCCCAAAAGGAGAGAGAGAGTAAGGGGGAAATTGTCTGCCATGAAGGCAGGGGGAGGGTTAGAAAGGGGTTGTATACCAGGGATATTGGTGATGGGGAATGTGCACTGGTGGAGGGATGGATATTTGATCATTGTGTGATTGCAACCCAAACATGAAAGCTTGTCACTATCTCACAGTGATTCAATAAAATTATAAATAAATGAATAAATAAATAAAAACCTAAAGGAAACACTGAGAAGGACATAGGCTTTCAGCTCAATGCACTTTTCCACTGGTTTAGGTATTGCAATATGTGGCCATCGGGGAAAGTGAAGACCGGAATTCTGAGAAGATCGGTAGCACTGTAGCACTGTACTCCTTTTGTTCATTGATTTGCTCAAGCGGGCCCAATAACGTCTCCATTGCGAGACTTGTTACTGTGTTTGGCATATCGAATACGTCACGGGTAGCTTGCCAGTCTTTGTCGAGCAGGCCAGATACTCTCGGTAGCTTGCCGAGCTCTCAGAAAGGGGCAGAGGAATTGAACCCAGCTCACTACGCCAGCACTTGCAAGGCAAACACCCTACCGCTGTGCTATAGCTCCAGCCCTCACTACTGTGGTTTACCTGGAATTGTACTAAGTACCTGTGTAAACACACAAAAAATAAAAGGCCGGCAGTCAGGCCGTTTCCCCACTCCACAGAGGTCCATGGCGATGGTCAGGGGAAGGAAGGAAACGAGGCCAAGCTGGTTGGTCTTAGCAGCAGTTTATTACATGGAAGAGATGTATGTCATGGAGGCCCCAGGATCTCTCAAGCATGTGCACCATTGTTCTCTCAGCTTCTGTCCTCAGCCCCATCTTCCCAGGTTCTCTGATGTACGTGTCCCCCCAGAGAGCCCTGAAATCTCCCTTATATAGATCATAGTACCTCTAAAGGGCGCAATATAGTGATGTCATCAAAAGGAGTTACAGAAAGAACATTGAGGAGGCAAACATACATTGTTTCTTTATATCCGCAGGCCAGTAATCCTGGCCTCACCTTTTTACAAGCTACAAGCATTTAGATTAGCACAACAAAGACCAGTCTGCTAGAGCTTGGAATCTACATCCCCAAAATCAGCCAGCCTCCAGGCATCTACATCCCAAAGACCAGGCCTGGCTTAGCACCTGGGAACTGTATACCTAAGGCCGGCTAGGTTCCTGTGAGATAGGAGAAACTACCTCAATATACTGAAATCATTTACTGAAGGCAGTTTGAAGGGGAGAAAGTTCAGTCTCATCCAAGCTAGACAGGACATACAGGAAAACTGCTTCTAGGACGTGTTTCTCCTCTCCTTGTCCAACCAACATATAAGCATACATAATATTAATCATTTTGTATGGACACAGTAAGAAATACTTTGAGCTTATAGAATTGCTCTTCTAGGGCCATCTCGATCTCAGACTGCAGTGCTCAGGCCAGATATCTTTCCTATTCCTAGCAGCAGGGCCCTAGTCTCGTCGTTACTTTTGGATCATGACATCATTTGCCCATGATCAACCTCTTAACTTATAGTTAAGAATCGTGGCACCTTGGCCTGGCCCATCGCGATGCCAGGGTAGCACATAACTTACCGGCTTGCCCTGGTTCCATCCAGTCCCACGTCGGGACCCTGCCCTTAGAGTGCTAGGAAGTGAGGGCAACTGAGGCTTAAGCTGAGAAGACAGATGCCCAGGAGTGAATAATATTCAAGCCAATTAAATCCTAAGTTATAAAGCATAATATTAACTAATTGTCTTCCTGTATCTATACAAAAGGACAATGCATTAAGGTAAACTGCTCAAAAGACATAAGGAGAGGAGAACGGCAATATTAGCTTACAGTACAACTTCAGTGTCTAAGAAGGATGAGACCTTACAAATTGGTTGGCGAAGAGAGCATAGAAGTGGTTACAAGCAGACAAAATAATGGGAGTGACTCGGGAGCACTGTGATGAGTGCGATTCCGATAAACCTAAGCTCCGTGTACTCCAACAAGTACCAAGAGCTGTTTCTTTTTAACCTCTGACAGAAAGAAATAAGGTTAGGCTCATAAATTTGGTGGTTTTTCTTCAATTCGACAATACAGGCTGGGAAAAAAGGAAGTTCACGGTTTTAAATATTGTTTTTTAAAAACAAGAGCTTCCCTTCATGAGTCTTCTATGATCCACATTCTTTTTCAGTTACCAGAAGCTGTTCTTTGTATGTTCTTAGGGTTTACTGAGTATGGGGGGGGGTGGTATTCTGAGCTCGTTATAGCATTAGTGGAATTTGATACTGAATATTTTAGTTATATTGATATTTTTGTGAGGGTTTTTGTTAGATTTTTGAATTATATTTCACACTTTTTCCTTTCTTTGTTGCTGTTGTGATTGTGTGATGCCTAAGGGTTGTTGGCATACTGACTGTTGCTTTACCATTTACTCATGATGCTCACTGGGACCACACATCAGATTTATGTGTTCATCCATTCAGAGCTTCTAGAACTGTGGTCAGGGCATCAAGAATCAAACCTGAATCTTTACTCCTGTGAGGAAGGAATTTTTATCAGTGAGGTAGAGCACAGATCCCAAAATCAATATTAGACACATATTTTAGAAAAAAGTAAGAATTGGAAGGCAATTTTATAAACTTTTGAATGGAATAACAAGGGAGTACAATTTCATATCAGTTTTTCAGTGTACAGAATGGAGGGAAAGGATTTGTATTCATATAACATCCACTTATAGAGAATTGTGTCATATTTCTATGAATTCACTTATCTAAAGGAAGTCCAAGAACATCAAGTCACTCATATATGGTCTAATAGGTATGTATAGAATAATATGAAAAGAGGTCCTGGGTAATGTGAATTTATAAAAAAAAAACTATATCACAATGTTTACTGAAAAGGATACATAATTGTGCTCACACTTTTCACTTTGTCTCTGTCTGTTTCACATTATTCTCTCCATATATTGCATACTATAGGATGTATCATTCATAGTCTTGACTCTAGTTGAATCAGAGTTCTAGAGAAGAAAATTACAAGTTGAAGATGCAAGGGGCAGAGATGAGAGGATGCAAACTCAGACCTAGGATTATCATCTATGTTTATTACTAGGATTCCCCATGTCTGAGCATCTCTTTACCATTGAGTAAGCTAAGAGCGACAAGCTGCCTCAGAAATTCCCAGAGCAGATAGTTCAGCACAAACAAATATGATATGGGGCAGTGAGCAGAGCAAATATGGAGGGAACAGTTCCCACCAACAACCAAAAACGACGTAGAGCAGAATTCAAAACGATAGATAAATAAAATTACCTAACAGGAAAAAGAACCTGAATTATGGGCAGGATCCCAGCAGAGGACACTTCAAGAGGAGGTGAGTCCTGAGTTATCAACAGACATATTTTTGTTACAACAAAGACCTGGAAGTCGAGGAGTCCTCAACATGAGGATTTCCACACATTCATTCTCCTCTGCAAATCAGGTAAAATTAATTTTTTGTTCTGAGAAAAATATTATCAGGAGAAATTATTTTTGATAGCTCTGATGTCAAGAAATCCTGAGACATCTGAAGACAAAGACCAGGCCAGAAAGGGGTGAGCAGAAGCAGTTGCAGGAAGCAAATTTGCATGCAGGCCCCTCCCTTCTCTGGAGCAGAGGAGGGATAAGAACTGGGAGAGAGCCAGGCCCAGGGTTGGGGTGTCAGCAGGCAGCACTCTGGGCATCTCCATCATGACCTGGGCTCTTTTCCTCTTCATCCTCCTCAGTCAGGGCCCGGGTGAGGTTTAGGAAAGGGACCCCAGGGAACATCTGCACTCACCCTTTCTCACTACTTCAGGCTCACCTGGGCCCAGCTTGAACTCACCAGAGTGGGTTTTTTTTTTCTCTACTTAGGGAGTCTGGCCCAGTCAGCCCTGACTCAGCCTCCAGCAATGTCTGGAACGCCAGGACAGATGATCACCATCTCCTGTACCGGGACCAGCAGTGACTTTGGGGGATATGGCTATGTCTCCTGGTACCAGTAGCAGGAGGGCACAGCCCCCAAAATGCTGACTTATAATGTCTACAACCGGCCATCAGGGATCCCTTATCGCTTCTCTGGCTCCAAGTCAGGTAACACAGCGACCCTGACTATCTCCAGGCTCACGCCTGAGGACCAGGCTGATTATTACTGTTGCTCCCACAGGAAAGGTGGCACGGGCACAGTGGTTCATGCTCATAGAGAAGTGAGACAAAAACCTGCTCAGTGTTCCCCAAGGTTCTTTACTTCTGAAATATAATATTTGTACTTTATCAGTAATTATTTTTAAATTAATTAATGATAAACTATTGAGTTTTGAAAATCATAATATTCTTCATATTCTTTGTAATTATTTATTTTTTAACAATTTTTATATTTCCTGTTTCTTGGATTTTTAATTATTCTCATTGACTATGTATGGATATGTGTCGTGCACAACAATAAATTTATGAACTGCTTGGTTTAATCTGCGTATTTACCCAAAATTTTAAAATTTTTTCATAGAATGTGCATTTCATAAATTTATTCTTTATGACATGTAATTCATTGTTTTCCTATAATTTTCACTTTGAAGAATTCATTAACCTTTACTGCATATTATAGCAATCTTCCTAAAGAATCTCTTTATATATCATCAGTTTCTCCTCATCTGGAAATTACCACAAAATATTTTTTATTCTGTCAATAGTCTTATCTGTTCTTTCATTTCAGATCAATAGTTTCATAAATGATGGTATTCATTTTTCTTAATTATATTTATGAGAAAACAAAATGTTTATAGTTCAGGAAAGTGTAAAAATGTACTTTTTATATAAAAAGTCTTCTACTTCAAAGATGATGATGCAATGCTGCTATAACAGCGGAAAACATACTAATTGTTGTTAAAACAGTGGATAATTTTACTACAACTCTTGTAAGAGATAAGGGAGCTCTTTCCATAGAGCAGGGACTTTTGGCACTGTGGTTTACTACACAGTTAATGACAGTGTTCCATATATACAATGTTCCAACACCACACCCTCCACCAGAGTATTATTCTCCTCAACCTACAGCTCCACCCCCATTCTCCATGGTCAGATAAGAACTGTTGGTCAATTCTTTAGTTCTGATGTTTTAGGAAAGGATGCTTAATTGAGCTGAACAAAGACCTTTTGACCCAAAACCCAATAGCCTTGAACTACGAACTTCCTGACAGAGGGCTATGAAAACCTGTTGCCCCTAATTAATTGGAGCATGTGCAGAGCATAGAAGCCTGTTGCTAACTCCACTTATCTCTTCTTGAAGTTCCAAGTCATGTTAACTCAGCTCTATAGCTGACTAATGAGATGTGAATGATACATAGAACAATGTGAAAATGTGTATTTCTCAAATGAACTACTTGAACACCACAAAATCATGCTTTTCATATCCTACCCCTTATCTATATGCTTCCCATTTATTATTCAATTCTTCAAAATATTTCCCCCTGGACCTTGTACATAACAACTTTTTCACTGATAATCCTCTCTTACCACCAAGACAAAAGTCTGGATCCTAGAGGAGAGCAAAGTAATTTCTTTGCGGGGTTACCTCTGCAAAAAGCCAAGATGTTCCCTTGCTTCAATCCACAGTTCCCTGAACAGTGGTGGGCAGGGAATTGGGCAAATCATGCAGATGTATTGGAACTCAGAATAGTCTGACTACTGTCTGGTTTGGACTTGCAGGGATATATAACTGACCATGAAGGAGCTCAGGTGAAGTTTCTAATTGTCCTACTCCTCCCCCACTCCTGACTCTTGGATTTCTGTTGGTAAACTCCGATTAGATTAAGGCACTCTTATAGCTGTTTCTGAATCTGAAAGAATTACATTATATTCATTCCTTGTTTCTGTAGCTTCTCTGTAATTCAGGGTGTCAAGAATTTATTTCATGACTTGCAGTTAATAGGAAACGAGGCATGGTCTAACAACCATTTCAGTACCCTGGCAGAATAATTGCCTTCACCAAGCAGACACTTACCTAGGTCCTTCCTTAACTCTATGTCCTCCCCTGATGCTGATCTCTGGCTTCAACCCTGTTTCAATTTCTTACAGTATTAAAATGAATATTTAGAGAGTAAAAATTCTACAAGTTCTATAAAGTCAGAGTCAATTAAATGGGGAAATGAAGTTGGTGGGCCTGCTGGGGTGGATTATGTGAGGCAAAGGGGAGAGAGATGGTCACTTTCTCCCAATCCAACTCTGCCACCTTGGAACTACCAGGGAAGGCCATGACTGATAAAATCCTAGATAATACTCTGCGTGGCATGGGCCAGAGCCCTGCCAGCCCCACTAGGTGTCTATCAAGCCACACCTATATACTGCTTGGTTTTCTTGACAGGAGAGTTGATCCCTGCCAGCTGACTTTTGTGGGAACTATGGACTCAGGCTGGAGCAGGGAGTTGCTCTTTCCAGGAAAGTAAGCTCAGTTCTAGGCCTTACCCAGGATTTCCTGGTACTTTGTCCTGTTTAGCGGAAAAGAATTTCAGGAGTAGAAAGGTAGTGAAGTAAAAACAGTTTTTATTTGGAGAGTTTAGAAGGGGAAGGAGGGAGAGAAATTGGGAGAGATAGGAACATGGAGAAGAGAGAAGGCATCTTCTCCAAAGGCAGAGAGAGCCCCAGTACTCATCTCTAGAAGGGAGATGTGGGAGACTCATGTATTCTGGCACCACATGTGCTTAGCCACGTGGGCACAAGCAGTCCATGGGCTTGGACAGCATATGTGTGGTCTTCCTTTTTTCAAAGTGGCTTTTGTGAAGTTTCTCCAGTCTGTCCCCATGTAGGATTTCTGCCTAGCTAAAAGTCCATTGCTAGGGTAGTTGCTAAGGGGCTAGATTTGGGAGTGACTGGTGGTCCTCATTGAAATTCCTTGCCCGTCATTTCTATTGGAGCTTCTCTCTGATCAGGATCCAGTCCTCTCTGTGTCTGTTACTGGTGCCTGGAAGGTCTAATAAGACCTTGGTTTCTGTGTTTGCAGCCTTGACCCTGTTGGTTTTATTATTTCTATTAGTTCTTTTATTACTTCTATTATAGTTCGATTAGTCTTCTATTCATGAATCTTTAGATGTTTTATGTTTGAATCTGTAAGCACAAATATGTAGGCTACTTTAAATGAAATCAGGTGATTTAAGTCTTAGGTGTTCTCATTATAAAAAACACAACATTTGCCATAGGGGTCTAACTACCTACATCAGAAATGACACTGGGCCGAATCCCAGCACGGAGACCCCCGCGACCTGTCTAGCTCCGTGGGACCGCCCATCGGCTCATCGGCCCCTCCTCTCCATGTGGGTAGGGGGAGCCGAGGCCTGGAGCCGCTCCTCCCTCACAGCCATGTGCCTCTTCCCGCCAAACCCGAGCTTGGAGACCCCGGCGGCAGGTCCAGCTCCGTGGGACTGTCCACTACCCTTCCTCCATTCCAGGATCCTGGGTGGGAGTGGCCTGGGACAAGCTAGGGGCATGACCACTAAGAAGGGGGCGTGGCCTCCCAAAGTGGGCGTGGCCATCTCCTGAGTGGGCGGCCGCCCACGCGGCCCCAGTTATATTACCCACTCGGAGCACTCAGGAATTTTGTCCCACAACTTGTCGCCTAATACCAACTAAACATTTCTCACCACTTCTACTACAACTCAACAACATCCCACTCGGCTACTCCATTTCTAACAAAAAACCTTTTTAAAATGAGCTGTACAAGCTCAATACTAAATAGCTCTTCCTCCAAAGTTTCACTCAATGTCGGTTATAAAACAAAGAATAATGCCTGATTGAGAAGAAGGTCAGACTCAGAAAGGTAGAAGGGTGGCCACCATTGACCAACCTTATCCAAAATCCTTTCCCACCTTCAGAGGTAACAGTACGATTTGCACGGAACGGGAACTGAGGCCCATCTCGCGGCAACAAAGCTGAACGGCTCCGGGCACTTTCTCCTCATTCATCCAGAATAGTAACAGTGAACGTGAAGGACTAAACCACACTGATCACAATGGTAAAGCAATGCAAAAGCCCACCGAACTTTCTTATTGAAGAGGCTAGCCCAGAAGACACCAACAGTACTGTACTGTTATACAACCTCTCTGACAAGGAATTCAGAAGGGAGCTACTTACAATGCTTAGGGAACTAAAAAAAAAACAGTGGAAAGCAATGCCAATAAAAAACAAGAGGATCTGAAGGCAGAAATGAGGAAAATGCAATCGAAAATGTCAGACCTGAAAAACCTGGTAGGCGAATTGAAAAACTCAGTGGAAGGCCTCAGCAGCAGAATAACAGCTGCTGAGAACAGAATCAGTGAGCTCGAAGATGAAGTTCAGAGACTCTCCAGAAAAGAGCAGAAAATGGAAAAGAGACTCACAATTCGGGAACAGATGGCAAGAGAAGATCGTGATGACGCCAAGAGGGGTAACATAAGAATTATTGGAGTCCCAGAGGGACGGAAGAAAACTTGATGAAGAAGAAACTGTCAAAGACATCATTGCTACAACGTTTCCGAGCTGAAGAAAACTTGTGACCACATTCAGGAGGCCCGACGGGTACCAGCTAGAAGAAATCCGAATAAAAATACCCCAAGACACATCCTGATCAAAATGACCAAAACCTTAGATAGAGACAAAATTCTGAAAGCAGCAAGATCGAAGAAAGAAATCTCCTAGGAAGGAGCATCCTTAAAATTCACAGCTTATTTGTCTGATGAAACCCTCATGGCCCGAAAACAGTGGTGGGATATAGTGAAAAAACTCAATGAAATAAATGCCTCACCAAAAATACTTTACCCAGAGATACTCTCATTCATAATAGATGGAACAACACACAGTTTCACAGACAAACAACAGCTCAGGAACTTCATAGACTCAAAACCATGGTTACAACAACAACTAAATGGGCTACTTTAAGGCAAGACAGGCCCCTCAAATATATCAAATTTCAACAAAGAAATGGAACAAAACCCCATACCAATAATCTCTCTCAATATCAATGGGCTAAACGCTCCAA